TATACATACACGCAAACATTCGAGCAAATCACTCTATATGTGCCTGGGTTTTTAATTTTCTTTTGTTTAATTGAGTGCATGTAAAAGGTAATTTAGAGCAGGATTGTCTTCTTTCCAAAGTGTTAAAGTGAGACATTTACAGGAATGAGACCCAGCTTTGATGATGTCCTTCGAATGATGGACGAAGGCTGATCTCGTGCTCACCCGAAACGAAGGAGGCCGCGTGGACGACGTCAACCAGTACGTCTGCAGTACAACGCGATTCATCCGTCTTTTTCTGATGATCTCGAGCTGCAAATCTCTTCTTCATACACTTCCAGACGAAATGAAAAGTGCCCCCAACAAAAAGGAGACAGCCGTTTTCGATAAGCCAATCGGCCCAACGGTCTCATGGACAACTGAAGGGTTGACTAGTTGACCGGTTGGCTGACTAAAGGGTTCGAGCGACTCGAGGCCGAACCAAAGTCCGGTTGAGGGTCAAGGGATGAAAAGGAGAGCTATCAAGCTGCAGACGAAGATGAGGGTGAATAGACCAAGAAGGCCGAGAAGTATTTTGATACACTTTGCGGGCGTTTTGACAATTTTCTTGACTTCTGGCGGCTCGACGGGTTTGACCTCCACGGGCGGAGGTGGTGGTATCTGGATCGGATGCCGCAAAAAGTGTTCGAGTTGCTGGCCAACCTGATGGTAATGTTTCTGCCAGTCAGACCGACCGTCGGCCACTCCGACGTCCAGGCTCGGCAGACGCAACTCGACGTCCGCCTTGAGGCCGTGGCAACCGCTGCTGGAGGACAGTGAAGAGAGCGTCGCGTCGAACGGACCCGAGCCGTCAGAGTCGTAGACGGGCGCTCGGCGCTTCTTTCGAGCGACCACCTCTTCCGAGTCTGTAGAATCATCCAACTTTTTCAACAGTTTCTGCAACTGAACAGGCGACAACTTGGCAGGTTGCTCCGTTGTCCCGGCAACTGAGGTCCCCGCGCCTGTCTGCCCCGCAACCGAGGTCACATGTTTCGCCCAATCACGACGCGCCCAATGCCGCAGTCGCCGACGTCTACGGCGTCGGCGAACCCGATGGTCGCGAGATCGTTGGTCAGCGCAAATGGTACATCCGGTCTCGGCGTTGGAGGCGAGTGAAGAGGTAGTGCTGTCCGAGTCGAGGGGACATTGGGCCCGTCGCCGCGGTGCCATGTCGCGGCAAGAGGTGAGGCCGCGATGATGAGGCGAAGGGTCGTTCAACCAACTGAGACATGCCAATCGAAAAAAGGGATGACACCAAAACCAGAAGCTGATGCCACAAACGCATCAGCAGACCCGCCTTGTCAAGAAGGCGTAGTGATAAAAGGACATCTATACAGACAAGCAGATAGAT